CTTCTTACCTCTTGTCGACCTGGCATGTTCCGGCCTTTTCAGGACAGCTGGCAGCCTTGACGGGCCCACAGACGTTGATGTAGTAGTCATAGTTGCCGCTGGTCAGGTTGTAGAAGTCACCGTCGGCTTTGGAGAGAGGCGACAAGTCGAAAGAGAAGCCTGTGGAGCAACAGAGGCCAGTTATAGAGGAGGATTAAAGCCGAGTCAAAGATGTCAACTCTGAACAGCGTAGCACAACATGGAAGTTAAAGCTGTGCTGTTTATTTAAACGTGAAAGTGCAATAAAAAGGTCAAAAAGGTGAATAATCGTGATCTCAATATAGATTTCTGATTTTTTGTTTATTTCAGTTGGGCCAGGAAGCCTACATTAACTAAACTCTGCAACTAATTTAATAATCAATTGACAGCTTCACAAATGAGAGGATTTGCTGCTTTTCTACGTTTTATATGATAGTGAAATCAATATATTTTGATTTTGGACTGTTGTTTGGATTATACATCCCGACAGACAGTTTAAGGAAAACTTTGGTATTTTTCAGCTTGGACCCTATTTTCCCATGTTTTTGTGTCTAAGTGACTAATGGGGACGACTATGTTTTTGAATTTCTGTTGCTTCGTTCTCGCCTTTCCTTCACTGCTGTGTTTTTCTGGCTTGAGCAAAAATATTGATCAGTCAGTTAGCGCGCTGATCAAACGTTTATGCGTGCCGTACCAGCCTGAGGGTCCTCCACTTTGCAGTCGTCTCCCTGAGTCTTCGAGAGGACGCAGGCGGCGGCAGTGTACCATTCCAACTCATACATACAGCCGTCCGACGCAACGCTACGAAGGACGGGAGCGCTCTCCAGATCTCCTGCAAGGAAGGCAAGAAGAGGAAAATGTGTAGGAGGAGACAACAAAATCAAAACCACACAGAAATTAGAGAGAAAAACACAGAGCAGATATTAAACATTAAGGACAAAAATATCTAATGACAACTCTTCTCTCAGTTTAGCTTACCCGGTTTGCACTTGAGGGTCAGGATAGTTTGGATCCTCATCTTTTTATTGCTGCAAAAACTTCCATCGGTATACACCAGTCTGATGTCATTTCCTATTTTAGTCTTCTGGGGAGATGAGAGGAAGCTGCCTAGGCTGATCGCCCCATTATCCTTATCTGAGGGAGAGAAGGGAACAATCAACAAACTAAAAGGCTACAACTATCCCTGACAATTTCATGAATTCTGCAAGTTTTTTTACAACTCCTCGACATCCCCTTCTACCACCATCATCCCCCCCGGGCATTGTGTAGACTCTTACCCACGGCACAGATGGAGGCATTCACCGGGCAGCGGGCAGCTGCACCCGTCTGGATGACTTTGTGACAGACATTCAGGTAGAAACGCGAGTCCAGCTTTGGAGATTTAGCATCCACCACCTCCCAGTTCCCACCGACATCTGACCCTGAAGCAGCACAGGAGAGACACGGAGGAAGGTGCCGTATCAGCAACAAATGTTTAGTCACAACAGGCGGAAAACAGAATGTGCTACATTGAGTGGCTGTGACCACAACCATTCGCCTTCTCACCAGGGTATCTTGTGAGGGGTGAAAGGTCGTAGTGTTTGTTGTCATCTCTGACTCGACACAGTAGATCCTCTTTCTCCTTGACGCAGGCGAAGGCCGTCTCCCAGTTAAAAAAATAAGTGCAGTCTGTCTCCCCCGCAAACACTGGACTCCCTCGCCCACCGTTGGCTACAGAAAGAAAGGCACACCATGGCTTAAGCATGAGTTTTGACGGGATTCCACCTGACTGACAATTCTGAATAAATGGAACTTTTACATTTAGAGATGCAACAGTAAAAATACACAAATCAGTGATTTGGGGGAGGGGTTTCTTGAGAAACTCCAAATGGTAAAAAAAAAAAAAAAGTACAATATGTTGTTCACTAATGGAGTAAAATGTGGACAGGGAGAAAACTAGAGAAGTCCTTGACCTGTAAATGTAGTGTTCCTTTGGCTCAGAAAGTAGAATGTTGAACAATAAAAAACAAGATGAAATGAAACCTGTCCTTGTGAATAATCTTAATTTCACTGACATGTTCATCATGTACATCATTACAGGATGACAATCTCATGGTAGCAGCATGTCTTGCTGTCTGTCACAATGTAATTCTTGATACTACCACAAGGTGGCGATTGTGTGCAGATGATCTTCTGAAGGAACTTCTGTGTCTTACATGCATTCTTGTTGCACTCAAAGTTGATGATGGTCATTCTCAGGAAGCCGGAGGTGCATCTGGTCCCGCCCGGGTAGATCAGAGTCAGATCTCCATCTGAATAACTACGGATGAAAACAGGGTTGAAAGGTGAAAGAGTTAAGAAATATATATATATATATATAAAGAAATAAAGAAATTATTCTTCAACATTGAATTTTGTAGGAACGAATTAAACCAAAAAGGTTTTGCAAAGTGGCAAACGGATTAAAGAAATGTAAAGCTGGTAGACGGTTAAATAGCACATTGCCACAATAAATAAAGCAACTGTGGGTTATAGGTTCAAGTTTCAATATCAACAAAGCAGGAACCAGGCTTTCTGCAGCATCAATTAGTTTACATTTATAAAATCTCAACTTAACGACTGTAACATAGAAACTAAGCACTCCATTGTTTCCTTGCATTAAAGCAAGACTCACTTCTGTTACCAGAAATTATTAATAAAACCATGTTTTTGTTTTTTTCCCCCCCTCACAGTGATTGCACCATCAAAATCAAAAGGGAGCATCAGAGCTGACGGATTGCCTGGTTGACAAGCAGGAAATACAGACAAACTCTTGGCTTTAAACACCGACCGGCTGACTGACACGCGCACACACACACACACACACATTACCGTAGTGTCTGGTTCTGATATCTTCCAGCCACCTTCTTCATGTCTCTGGACTTCTTCACCTGGCAGGACGATACGAACTGGTCGTGGCCACATTCAGCAGTGGGGATCTCTCCACACACGTTCAGGTAGTAGATGTAGCTGTCATCCCCGTCACTGGACCCAGAGTGTGCGTAGTACGGGCTGTCTGTAGCTACACACACACAGACACACACACACACACACACACACACACAAAGCAGCATCGGAAATTTACGCATTTGTCCAATGAGTAATAAATCAATATACATATAAGAATGCACGTGCACGAACTGTGAGACCAAGTGTAAAAAAAAGCCTTTTTTTCTATTTCTAGCAATGAGTTGACAAAAAAACAGGAAGGTCAGTACAGTTTACTCATGAAGCTACTTCCTCTGACTGGGATAAAAGCAGCTTCACTGTGAGCCAATAATTCTTGCGGGTTATACATGTAATCGTGGATAATGCAAGAGAGAAGGAACGTTTGGGCTTTTATTTACACCGTTAATCATCTACCACAACTTGGCACGCTGGGGTTTCCAGCTTGTTACTTTTATGTCTCTAATCCAGAAGGTGGACACACCTTCTTCTGTGCTCGTGCGTTCACTCTTGTAGCTTATAAGAACCAGTTTGAGGAATGACCACAAAATCTGTTTAACTGTAAGGTTGACCTGGATGCTTCGAAGCTTTACTCGTTAGTAATCGCATCCAAAACTGTATCCGTTTGTTGTGTGTAGAGGAAGCTTGTGCAGCGACGCTGAACATTTTGTTGTTGTTTTCCAATTTTTGTTCTCTGTGCTACCTGGTGCGCAACAGGATGCTGTGCGGGTAAAGTGGCGGCAGGTTTTTTTACTCTGCCGCAACATGAATAACTTTTTCTATCAGCTGTATATCTGACCGTTTCTCTTACTGACCGACTGAGGGTGAAGAGGAGATGGTTCTCTCTCTCTACGTGTGTGGGTAAGTGCGCATCAGGTGTGAGGAGAGATTGATACAGTCGGCTCACATCAAGCCGGCATGTACGTTTTGGTGACGTCCCGATATCTCACTTATAAATTTCAGTGTGTCTCCTCTCTTTTTTATCTTCCTCCTCTAGCCCGTCCATATAATTCAACCACTCATCCACGCTTAGCCCACCCAGTACATCCAAATTATTATCCTTATTATTATTATTGCTTATTTATAATACATTGATTTTTTACTATGTCTCTTGTTTGCACTATCCACGATGCTGCTGTAAACCTGTACATTTCCCCACTGCGGGACTAATAAAGGATTATCTTATCTAATCTTAAAAAAAATATTTTGTGGGCTGGATGTCATTTTGTATTCTTTACAGGTTGTTGAAATAGTCTCAGACCCCTGGGGTGGTAGCTTGGGACCCCCGGTTTGGAGGAAGAACTACTTACAGCTCAAGGTGAGAGGTGTTAGGTCTATGGAGATGTCGTGCTGTTCGCTGGTCAGTTTGCAGGTGTGGCTCTCCAGGTAGTCTCTGTGACACGCGTACTCAGTCACCCACTCCACCTCGTAGCGACAGTTCGACCCCGCTGTCATCTTAGGAGTGCTGCCCTGGGAAACCAAAGGACACTTTTGGTGAAGCAGGAACTTGCAGAGTTGTTCTGATACAAGGATCAGAAAGGCTACCGATGTAGCCTGAACTGCTGGATCAGGTAGCGGTGAGTACGCAAGTCTATGCACCGATCACACCAATATAAATTAGATATTAGAGAGGGAATTATGACCCGTTTAACTTTTTTTGTTTTTAACGCACTGGCATGGGATTGGTACTCGGTATCGGCCGATACAAAAGTATTAAAATTGGTATCCGGAGGCAAAAACAATGGTTTCGGAATATGTGAGCACAAGATTAAAACAAAACAAGTAGACACAAGTTTGCCAAGTACATACTGCAGTGTGTGCGTGTGCAACCTACTGAATGTCTGCTTGACGGACAGATGAAAGTGATGGTGACGGCAGGTTCGTGTCCATTGCAGATGTCCGGAGGAGATGAACCAGCAGCGACTTCATAGTGCAGCTTCAGTCTTGAGAAGAGAGGAGACAAGAAACTAAATTAGCTGTTCATTTAATTACATTAAAAGTGTATCCCTCAGTCCAACAAGGGTCACTCTACAGACATCTAAGGCTGTGGTTACACTTTTTTTTTTTTTTTTTTTTTTTTTTTAAAATCAGCAGTAACTTAACACGACTCTGGTCTCCAGCCCCAGGTTTTCCTCCTCTCTTCCCTTCGCTCTCCTCGGGAGAGGAACTCCCATGTTTGGGGGGAGATGATGGAGAACTACGTATGAAAGATCGTCTGGATTGTGCCCACAGTGTTGTCTACACCTCACTGAGATCCAAACTCAATGCGAGCAAGGCCATCTCGGCATGCGGTCTGGCTCAAACATATGAAATGTCAGACGACAGATGGTTAGCATTCATCAAGAAGATACCTGTCGTTGGATAACAGCTCTAGCTGTGCGGTAGGAGAGCCCATGTCGTAGGAGCCATGACTGGTGACCAGACAGGCTGCAGAGCCCTCCGGACACGATTTGTCTGGTCGGTCTGAGACAAGAAGAGGAAGGATATGAGAAGATGGGGGGGGGGGGAGAGTTTGTATGTAATAGGAAAACTATATTGCTACTAGCAGTGTTGAACAATTATTGGCTTGTAGGCATTACAACACATTTATCACAGCATAACTTGATGGCTTTCTTTGCTTAAAAATGATCAGTGTTGGTCAGCAGGTATCTTTACTGCAAACTGTTTTATAAAAAATGTAAAGGAAAGGGCTCTTTCATAAGGGACTGACTGAGACTCCTGCAGATGTTGATGTAGAAGTCGATGCTGTCGTCTCCGTCGTCCACCAGATAGCCGTTGTTCACTCGGATCAGGGGGCTGAGGTCGTGCTTCTTACCGTCAGAGTCGAACACATAGCAGGGCACCTGGACACAGAGGAGGTAGTGTCACAGTGCAGCGCTGACATCGCAAATCACAGAGGAAAGCGGAGGGTTCATGGCGGAACGAATTTACATCGGCTATCAACAGACACTCTTGCCAAAGCAGATATGACATGCCACATCGGATCTTTGTGTGGATGGTAAAATGACATCATGGTTATGTCCATGGATCTATACAGCATTGTGCAGGTCTGTATCATCTGACAGATCATTGGTAATTGTAACCAAATGTGCCCACATGTAATTATTTTCAACCTTCTTTTTAACCTCCAAACTATTCCATCAGATTCATGTTATTGGATTCTTATTAATAATAATAGTTTTTTTTTTGGGGGGGGGGGGAGATCTGTTGCTCTTTCGCTAATTTAATTCATTTCACACATTCTCTCAATTATTCCACGTTGAGCTCACATTAACGGCCTCATCGTGACGATATGTTGCTGTAAGGGTGTGAGGATGGCTTTTCATTTCCCTTTAAACTCCTCTCTGCCTCATTGTTTCTCACGTATCACACCTCGACAGACAGCAGTTCCTTTCTCTCTCTTACACGTCGAAAAACCTTCCATTCAGCCAGTCACATGTTCCACCATGTACCTCTTTGTGTGGCTTGAATTTATCTTTCTTGCAGGCGGTGAAGGTCCTCCACTCGAAGTAATGCACACACTGGGACACGGCGACAAACTCCGGGGTCCCCTGCAAGCACACGAACACAGGGAGCATGAGTAATACGGGTAGTTTCATGTTGATAATGGTGACTAACACAGTATAGTGCTGTGTAACAAGCAGCGGTGAATCAACACACAGGCGAACAAAGGAAAGGTTTAGCATGAGGGAAAATATGTCAGTGTCTCTGTTATAACACAGAATATACAGGTTTATTTTGTTAATGTTAAAAAGAATGTATTTTAAATGTTGCTTTAACGGGAGAACATTTATGTACTATGTATTACTCCCCACATGCACAGTTGAGTGCACAACCACAGTCTGCTGCTGGAGTGGTTGAAGGTTCAGTGCTTGCTCAAGGGCAACACTTGTGGAGAGAGAGAAGGTTGGAGTGTTTTTCATTCTCGCTCCTGATCCCGAGAGTCAAACCAGGAACTTGTCCCGTTACAGGTCGATGTACTTTTCATCTGTCATAAGGCACATTTTGACACTAGTTCAGTGATTTCTGGTGTTGTGTGAATGTTTTTTTTGCTGAAGTGGGTAAAAAAAAAATACATATTTATGACAAACTGTGAATTTTGAGCAACCTGAATCAGTTTTATTTGCTTAGCGTTGTCCAAACTAAAAGGATGACGGTTATATTTTAAAGGTACCCTTTACAGTTTTTGACCTTAGTATCGCTCAGGAGCAACGGTTTTACACGTCAGTCCCCATTTTGCTTGTTCTCGTGACGTGCCACACGTTTCTTCTCACACTATTCCTCTGATCTGCAGGTGGTTATAAAGCACCAAGAAATACAGCAACAAAGAAATAATGTAAACAGAAGTTCTCTGTTGTCAAAAACTAAATAAAGGACGTATAAGATCATTTGAAAAGAGAAGTGAACTGCTACAAAAAAAGCCAAAGTTACACATAATGTCAAATTCTTACCAAGATCTTACGAGAGAAAAAGAGTTGCATTGAGCAAGAGACAAAGAACATGCCACAGCCACAGTTTACACTATCCAAGTCATTTAAAGAATTAGAGATTTAGTAAATATTCTACACACAGAGAACCTAAAAACAAGCTCTTTAAATGTTGGTAGCAAAAAATAAATTGTGTCTTTAAGTGTTAAATTCATAAGCTGTCCACTCTTGAGGCAGATTATAGTCACAGATAACTTCTTCTTCTTCTTTTCAGCATTAGATGACTTTGTAAAAAGTTTCTCCACTTCACACATTGTGAGCAGAAAATATAGCTGATGGTCTTCTTCTACTGCGCTTTGTGACTCTATACAGGAAGCGGCGCATGTTAATGTCAACCCACCGCTCAGCCACCCCTGCAACCGCAGACACACACACACACACACACACACACACACACACACACACACACACA